GTTTGTACTATTTCCAACATGCTCGGTATTTCCAAAAATGAGGCGCAATAACTTAAAGCAAATTTCAAATAGTATTCCCTCTTCGACAAAACATCGGAAACGGAACTCATTTTTTTCCGTTATCGACCCTTTTTCCTTCCTTAAAGAACTCTAACATTATTCATTCAACAAAGCGATAGAATATAAAGAAACATCTCAAGTACTGTATATATATATCACCGATAAAAAACCAACATATTACAAATTTTATAAATAAAGGGTCAATTAATAATAAGATTTGATGTAAAACTTACAACATAATGGAACATTTAATAGACATCACCAAACATAACACTGTATTATTACTGTTAAAATTTCCCAACAAACAAAACAGACTCTCTTAGGTGTAAAATTATGAGTAAAAACAACACGGGTTCGCCAGAACCGTAATTAAAAAGTGATATCGATGCAAATTAACGACTTTTTACATCGATGACTAATAGTCCAACATCATTATTTATTGTTATCTCGAAGTTGTTACGAACCAAGAACGCGTTGTAATTGGCAAACATTGTTGTCTTTTTTGGTTCATTGGCTAGTTCAACGAAATTGTATGCCACAAAATATAATCCCACTTTCCAATTTCAAGTCTTCACAATCTTGCTTTATGTGATTGTGTTCATTCATTGATTTATTTATTTAAAAGTTCGTTCGAATTATCTAACGAAGCCATCACATCCTAGTTGTTAATAATGAGAATGGTTTATGTTTATTAAACATGAAGGAGAGCACACAAAATGAGATGACATATCAACCTCAACCATAGAGACAAAGATTCTGCGCGGAAGAAAGAAGTGGGAACACCAACCAGATTCTTTTCTTCACAGAAATGCTAATACAAACAACGTTACCGTATGTGTTGTGTGACAAGGGAGTGTTTGGGCACAGTTTCCCATCACTCACTTTTACTTTTTTTTGCCCTCGGTGTTTCCTTTGACTGTATAAATTTGACCAGTCAACAAACATGACTGATCCCTATGATGTTCATGCCTCATTGCCCCACCTACAATCCATGGCCCACCACATTTTTTTTATTATTTTTCTCAAATATCCATTGCTCAGCACACACATGTTCATTTCAATCACCACATGATAACATATTTATTAGCATATATAATATATATGTATATATTGTTCTCTTTTTCCTTTCAATCTATGGTTACTTTGAATACTAGCTAGCAAGGGACTCTTCTTGTAAGGTTACATAGGGTGCACTCAAAGCTAAATTTATATGGGATCCAAAGGATGTGTCAAAGTGGGATTAATCATTGTTTGTTAATTTTTTTCAACAAAGTGATAATGACACTATGAATTATGAATTATAATTACTATATTATACTACCACTAGTGCAAAAAGGACTTTAGACGTCTGTTATTTTGGGCTTTTAACGTCTAATCTCTGTCCGACGTCTATATGGGTGACGTTAATGAGACGTCGGGCCCTTCCATAACCGACGTCTAAATAGTTGTTTTATTTACGAAAAATGCCACCGGTCATTTTTAATGTTGGATATTCGAGGGTCAGACGTCTAAAGGGTGACGTTAAAGGTCTTTTTTGCACTAGTGTACTTTTCCACTAGGTGCCTCTCCGAAGAATCTGATACCAATTGCTACGGAGACATTACACCCAATTTAGCAACAAATCACACCGTATACAACGTACTAGCACCACATAATTGGCCCATTCTTCTACTTTTTTCTTTCCTCTTTTGAGTGGGGATAATCTATAGATTCTTATGTTATGTAGCAAAGTTTTTGAAAACGGTGTGCTAGTGTGAGTTGTATATTAGCATCAAGCCTTTTGGGTGTTTCAAGTTACAAACTATGTGATTCTATTAACTCATTTAATGAATGTAACAAAATTATACTATAATTTTGAACTTGATACCCATATATAGATTATTTAAATTTTAAACTTTTTAGTCATACTAGTTTATTGTTGTTCTGATCTTAAATTCGTTAAAATAATATTGTTATAATCGTAAATGATATGACACTATTAGGTGTATGAAAAGAATTTTAATTATAATTAACTTGGAATAATTACAATTCAACAAAACTTATATGGTTATGTGTGTTCCTCTTTTTAACTATTATGCGGGATATGGACATAATAGCTATGATTGTTAGGTTAGCAATCAGTTCATGTTGGTGTTAATTGTTGTAACTAAAGAGAAAGAAATAGAGTGACCCATGATTCATGTAAACCAGTGATTAAATATTTATAAAATGCAATGATGATCGTTAACTTTTCCCTAATCATTTTAGAAACGGTTGTGGAAAAAAAGAAAGGAAGTGGCTCTTTTTTCCACCAGCTAAGCGACAAAACGCCATGTGTGAGGAAATGAATCTTACTAATCTGCAAATTGATTAAAGAAAACAAGAAGACGAAAAGAATCATTCTCTTCTGCATTGTCAAATATCGGTAACTATTATTCAATCATTCCCTGTAATATATTTGGCGGTTCAGATGAATCTTCGAGTCTGTTGTTTTTCTAAATTAATCGTGTTGCTTACGGTTGGAAAAAAAAACTGACTAATAGTTCAGTATTTACAAGAATTTGCCCTAGCCAGTGTGTGTGTATGTAAATAAAGTAAAAAAAAATGTTGTATAACTGAGCATCTTTTTATCTCTAATTATACTACTTTTATCGGATTTTTACATGGATAAATTCAGATTGGTTAGCTCTTAATTATCTTATTAATCTTTCATGTTGATTAGTTAGGATATATAATCTTACTTTCTACATAAACCCTAATCAGCTGTTGAACTAAACTAACACATGAACAGTATGTAATTTTTAATGAAAGTATTGAAGATGAAGTTCTTAGCACACTGTGAAAAGAACCCTTATTTAATTTTCTTTTACTTACTGAGATGTTTATTCAGACGTATGGATGCAAAATGTCCATTCAGATCGAGCACGATTCTACAGTGAATGTCACGATCGCAACAAGATGAATCCATGAGTGAATGTGGTCTAAGAATCCACATGGATAGATATTCCAACAAACGCACAAGCGGGATAAGACATGATGACAGTGGTTAGCAATGTAAAAAGATACCTCAATTGCATGGTGTTTATTTTTCTCATTTACACCGATGAGTGCTGGTGTTTTTCTCAAATCATTAACAGAAAAAGTGTTGTTCTATATTAAAAACCGTGAATTTAGCATATTGATTATGTTAAAAACATGTTATACTAAAGATGAGAAGAAGAAGAAGAGTATTAATTAATTTTGGTAAAGTATTTGAAGTGTTATAATAGGAAATAATTGTAATGCGTGTGGAGTGAGAAGGAAAAGAAAGGGCATGCAGGAGGAATTGCATCAATCCAATAAGTGGGAGTTGAGTAAGACAAGTCAGTGACTGTGTTTCAGATTATTATTGATCATCATCAGGAAGAGGGACCACAAGCACCAAAATTGAAGGCCCAAGTGACCCCAAAACAGGTAAAGCAAAAATTGACTCATGAATATGGAGTGAGTGAGTTAGTGAATGAGTGAGTGAGTGGTGACAGTAGTACTTGTTAGGTGTGAAGAATCAACCAATAACTTTCAGCCACCAATATAACGTGTTAATTCCCTTCCATCTATCTGTCTTTACGTTACTGTTATTTGTATATATACATATATATACATATATACATGGTTTTCTTCAAACAAAAAAACATTATGCAGAGTTACACAGCTACAGAATGTTTGAAGTATAGTTGATGGATAATATGAGTTAAAAAGTTGAGTTTTTGTGATGTGGGGATGGAATGTGAATAATGGGAAGAAGAATTTTGGAGTTTGAAGAGGAAATGGAAAAGAAAGGAATGAAGGGAGGAAAAAGACGAAGGAAGGATGAAGATGAAAATGGAGATCCTCTGTCACTGTCATTAGTGTCCCCTTGCCTGTCCCCAACATCATTACAAATCCACATCACCCGGACATTCAACAAACGACGACAATCCTTCCCTTCCATCAATTTCAATTAATAATATCTTCTTCCTGCAACACCCTCTTGGTCCCACTTCATCATACTTACACACATACCAAACAAAATCCTTTTTTTTTTNGAAGGCCCAAGTGACCCCAAAACAGGTAAAGCAAAAATTGACTCATGAATATGGAGTGAGTGAGTTAGTGAATGAGTGAGTGAGTGGTGACAGTAGTACTTGTTAGGTGTGAAGAATCAACCAATAACTTTCAGCCACCAATATAACGTGTTAATTCCCTTCCATCTATCTGTCTTTACGTTACTGTTATTTGTATATATACATATATATACATATATACATGGTTTTCTTCAAACAAAAAAACATTATGCAGAGTTACACAGCTACAGAATGTTTGAAGTATAGTTGATGGATAATATGAGTTAAAAAGTTGAGTTTTTGTGATGTGGGGATGGAATGTGAATAATGGGAAGAAGAATTTTGGAGTTTGAAGAGGAAATGGAAAAGAAAGGAATGAAGGGAGGAAAAAGACGAAGGAAGGATGAAGATGAAAATGGAGATCCTCTGTCACTGTCATTAGTGTCCCCTTGCCTGTCCCCAACATCATTACAAATCCACATCACCCGGACATTCAACAAACGACGACAATCCTTCCCTTCCATCAATTTCAATTAATAATATCTTCTTCCTGCAACACCCTCTTGGTCCCACTTCATCATACTTACACACATACCAAACAAAATCCTTTTTTTTTTCATTGCAACATACCCTTCTTCGTTTTATTTATTGCCCTCTTTTCTTTACTTGAAAAGAACAAATGGGTTTAGATTAGATTAGATGGAAGGAATGATTAAAATTAAAAACAAAGAAGACGAACATAGGGACGCGGGAGGACGAGGTTTTGTGTTTGGGGGCTGAGAAGATCGCAGAGGTTTTGGTTTTTTTATTTTGTTTTTGGTGTTTGGATTTTGTTAAGGTGGTGAAGTGGATTATAGTGAGAGAGAGAGAGAGAGTGGTGGATGTGTGGGGACCTATGGTGAGGTGGGGTCCATGAATAGTTGCATCCACGCGAGAGAGGGACCTTGTATGTTGGGTTTATGTTTATGTTTCTTTTTGTTTTTGTGTTTTTTTTGGTTCGTATGAAACCGTTGCAGAACAGAATTGGGTAAGTAAGGAAGTGAGAATGCACTAGAATTTTCTTTCTATCTTAATGCTTTCTCTGCGTGCAAGCCAACCTCATCCATCATCGTGTACGGCAAAAAACATCATTGCATTAAACTCCCTTCTCTCTCTTCTCTTTCTCTCTCTTGGGATTGCTTGTGGGGTGCTTTATATATATAACTAGTCCTATACAGGTTTCTATTACCTCACTTTGCATGGTCTCTCTTCTATACTTATCTTTCTCCACTTTCCCTTCTCTCTCAAGTACTCTCATACACACAAACACACCAAACTGCATACCCACATACACAATCTACCAAAAGCTCTTACCTTTTGAGTTCTTTAGTTGAGTTAAACTCATCGTTTCGATCAGGAGTGCATATATTTCCTTTGTATGGATGGATCCTTCTACTGGACAACACCAGGTAAATATAAAACAACGTATTTTAATTGTGTCTTTCGTGGCTGCTTCTTATTGTCTGGTTTTGGGTTTTGAATTTTTAGTTCATACTTGAGATCAGTTTGGAACAGAGAACATGGCAGTTATCTTGGTTTGTGATCGGTTTTGTTTTATATTTAACATTTTTATAGGAAACTTCTGTCCTCCCTCGTTATTCTAAACCATATACTTTACTATTCATGGTGTTTTCCATGTAATTGATATGTCTCTCGAGCTTAAAAGTAAGGGAAAAATTCCCTTTGAATGTAATAAAGTACAAAATTTGGAAGTTTAAATTAACCCTTTGTATGCATGTTACCATGGAGTCAAATTGGGTTGAGGATTAGTTGGTCAGTGGTTGGGTTTCATTTGACATGTGACGAGTTGGTTAATTTGGATGTTTTTTGTGTTTTGTTTGTTGCAGCAAATGTCTAACCAGTCATTGGAGAACATGTTGGCATGTTCAAAAGCACAGCAGGAGAGGAAGCCAAGGCCTCAGCCAGAACAAGCTCTAAAGTGCCCCAGATGTGACTCCACCAACACCAAATTTTGTTACTACAACAATTACAGCCTTTCCCAGCCAAGGTACTTCTGCAAGTCTTGCAGAAGATATTGGACCAAAGGAGGAACACTGAGGAATGTTCCAGTGGGAGGAGGGTGCAGGAAGAACAAGAGGTCATCATCATCATCTTCATCTTCAAAGAGAATCCAAGATCAAGGATTCACACCCAATCCAAACAACCCTCTCACTGGTTTTCCTTCCTTGTCTTATGACTCCAGCGACCTCACTCTTGCACTAGCAAGGCTGCAAAAGCAGTCATGTGGGCAATTGGGTTATGATGAGCATGACTTTTCAATTTTGGGGAATCCCACAAGCACCCCATGTGATATCCTTGGCAACCCTGGCATGCACCACTCTTCCACAAACCCGGGCTTCTTGGATTCTCTTAGAAGTGGGTTCCTTGGAACACAAAGCAATGTTCAGAATCTGTACTATGGATATGGGAATGGAGACATGGGGGAGGTGGACAATGGCAATGCTTGTGGTGGTGGGGTTAGTGGAGAGATGATGCTGCCTTATGATCAAGAAATGAGTGTTGCCACCACCCAAGCAGTCACAGTCACCACCATGAAACAAGAGCTTTGCAATGCCAGGGAGCAAAGTGAGAGTAGGGTGTTGTGGGGTTTCCCATGGCAACTCAATGGAGACACCAACATGGCTGAGCTTGACTCAGGAAGGGCTAATTGGAATGCTCTCAACTCATCCTGGCATGGACTTCTCAATAGTCCTCTAATGTAGACACAATCATCAAGCTAAGGCACTGATAATTAATTCCTCAAGTGTTTGATGAAAAAGAAAAAAAAAATCAGTCTAATTAGGACTTTCAATCCTCTCGAGTGCTGAGGTTAATAGGGGTTTGGTTGATTCCCTTGAATCATCTTCTTTTACTTTCTTGTTGTTTTCTTTTTCTCCTTTTTGCTCCTTAAATTGTCAAATTTTTTGTACCACTATCCTTTAATTGGTGAATAGACTAATGAAATTTCAGAGGTTGTTTGTTAACCAAGTCAATGAAGTTGGAGAGAAGTAGATATAGAGCATCAATCATCATTTCCTTATTTGACAGATGAGAGAGAGAGAGAGAGAGAAAGAGAGAAGCAGGGAGCCTGAGAGTGATGTTTCATGGTTTAATGCAGAACTACTCTCTGAACAGTTAGAATCATTTTCTTTCAGGAGCTTTGAATTTATAATTAGTGATAGTTTCGAGATATTCTTCTACGATTGCATCTTATTCTCACCAGGTAGATTCTTAGAACATGTTTGTACTGACTACTGACTGCTATTGCTGAAATGCAGTATTAAATTAAATTAAAGTGGTTACCATAGTTCCATTGTATATATGTCATGGCATGATAGTGGAGCTGAATCAGGTGATGAGAATTTTAGAATAGAAATTTCAGTGAAGCATCAGCGCCAACTTCGGTGAGGATTTTGTCTCTCTCTTTGGCACTTGGCAGACCAAATCCAACATAGGATTTGGGCGTGAGAAAATCGTCAGTAACAAGTTTGAAAATTGTTTGAAGTGCCTTAATCAAATGAGCATGAGCTACATTACTGCATCACGGTTTGAAATGTGGCATAAAAAATTCAATGGAGTCAGAGGGAGAATCTGATTTGTTTGGTTGTCACCCTTTGAGAAAAATCGTTGTTTTGGGTATGAAAACATGAAAATAGACACCCTCTGTGCAGCTGTATAGCATTGAAGAAGTGATTACTGTTGTGTCCTGAATTAAGGGTAGAGAGATTGGTGGGAAGTGATGTTGATATTTAATTAGATGATTGTGATATGAGAAATTATTATAGAACTAAAGGGACTGAATTTTTTTAAATTGACCGTCACATTCATTCACCTCAAAGAGCAACTAACAAGTACTGGCCCTACTTTGGTTGGAGTTTCAAATGAGAAGGAGGTGGAGCAAGTACAGCTAGTCAAAGTCTTCAACTAGCACTATCTCTTGCTTATCTGACAAACCACATGCCACAAACATCATACTATATTCCTATCTAAAGCTAAATGTTTTCCTATGTTTCTTAACCTCACAATTTAAATAATGCTTCACCTTCAATGTTTTTCTTTTTTTTCTGTATATTTATATTCCAACTATCAAATGAAACTGTAACAGCGATGAGACATATTTGCCGCTTGTTCAGACTTGAGAGTCTCTAACCAGATGGGCACGTAAGTTGTTCCTGGTTTGATAATATTATTAGTATCCTTTTAAAATGACAACAAAGAATCTTCAGAGAAGACTAATGCCATATTCTGTCTTTGAAATTCTCTGATGTAAGACAATAATTACATCAGTTATTCAAACTTGGAATGAGAAGTTCCTGTTCAACCTTAGTTTCACGTGTTACACTAAAACATTGGTACTCATTATAACAACTTACGTAGATAATTAGATATCATTTACCACAAGAGGTTTTACCTAAGCGAGTGGTTAAAGAAACAAATAATGTGAAATAAACAAATATGTTACTGATAAATAATTTATACTATATGAACGAAACCATTTCGGTCAATATAGTACAAAATCATGTCGACAAAATATCTCAACCGTTACTAATAAAGATTAATAGTATAAAGATTTATTACAACATTTCAAGATTAGGTTTCTCCTTCTCTTTGAAGAGGGCTAGAAGAAACACCCCATGTCTTGTTGGATGGAGGATGAAGGTCATTTGAGACATAAACACCAATGAAATCTAAGTCTAATCATATAAGTGATTGATACCACCTATGTCAAAAACATTTAAAATCTTAAAGATAATGAGTTAACGAGTTTTTCATCTTTATACAGTGTTCTACTTTCTCATTTTTATTTAATGTGAAACTTGAACTTACAACTTAGATTCCTAACAATTTCTCTCTCAATGGTGAGTTCTTTCGGAATTGGTACGCTCCTCTTCCAACGATAGCATTCTAACCACGAATACCCATTTGTATCGCAAGTCATCTTAACGAACAAGCTTACCTAGAACTCTTTATAAGGAAAACTAGTATCATAGCTAATGGTTCCAATAACCTTAAACTTAACTCCAATAGCATGCCCTTTGTCCAGTATGAGTCATAACCAAAATCAATTTTTCACAAACAAATACACACACCTAGGATAACTTACATTTTCTTTGCACAATGACTCCAATATTCTTTAATTTATGATTAATTGAGCTCGAGCACCTTTTTTTTAGTAGCATAGTTTGGTTGTTTAGCTTCAATCCCACTGTAAAATATATCGGTTTAGCCGAACCTTTTGGTCAAGCTTATGGAAAATTTCCAAGAAAAAATACATACAATCAAAAGAAAAGTATATATTAGGCTAACATATTATTTAGCATAAATTCATGTTGTCATATTTTCAGTTCACGTTTAAAATTTCTGATGGTAAATGAAATTACCTTGAATTATCAAAGGCAGAAAAATTAAAATAAATCCAAGAACAAATTGATAAGATAAATTCATCAATTCACGTCAAATAGATGTGTTTTAGCCTTAAACTTTAGTTGTCAAATATCATTTTCTTTTTAATTTATCAAACCTAATTTTGCAGACATTGAAATAAATGTTAAAAGGATAAAGAAAAAAGAGAGAAGGAAAGAATCAATTAAAGGTGTATGAGAGAACGAGCAACAGTTACAGAGATTGTGGGAGTAAAGTTGAACAAGTGCTATGCTATGGATTCAGAGAAAGTGGAAAGTACAGTTTATAGCATGCAAGTCTCAAACAGTGCTTCGTTTACAAAAGAAAGGTTAACTTTTTTTTTTCATTTTTTTACATGCTGCAAGATTTTATTTTTTACACCGTTCTTTATTTTAACATGAAAGAATTTTTTATACAACAGAATTTCATTATCGAAATTAACATTTTTAATCTAAAGTAATTTAATGATAGAATTTACTAAGTATAATAATTTCAATTTTGTTATATATATATATATTTTTTTTTTCCATTATGCAATGATGAAAGGCACTATTTTCTAAATTTTCTACCATTTTTTCGTTAATTTGCATAATTTTTTTCTTAGTCGTTTAACTATTTTTTTCTATCAATTTTCTTGTTTTTTTTTTTTCAATTCTATTCAGACAAACTTTTCATATTCACATTTTTTTTTTATTTTTTAATCCTTTGAATTCTTTGACTAATTTTATTTTTCTTCTATAATTTCTCTCTCTTATTTTTCTGTATTCCTTCAAAAGAGTTCTCCATGATTTTTTCCACATTCATTAATATGATTTTTCAATAATTAAATTAAATAAATTTTGTAAGACATCTTTTTTTGTTCAGTAAGCATGATTTTAAGAAAATAAAAGTTAAATCTTTATGTACATAGATTATAATTTTAATTATTTAGTTATTCATTTCTAAAACTCATTTATTTATTTATTTTTTATTATTTTGTGTTCTCTCTTTCTTTTATTTTATTTTTACATAGACTCTTCCTATTAGTAGCTATTAGTAAGTTGATATGACTAAATTATTCTTATTTAATCAGAATCTGTTTAAGGAAGTTTCTTTTTTACTTCCAACTTACTTTTTCTGTCTTTTTTTTTTGGTTTCATTTGTGAACATTATATGGTTCACAAGTTCTACAGACTGAGATTTTTTTTTATTGGTCTATTTCTGATAATTACGTTATTTGTTAGATGGTATGACTTAGAATTTCTATATTTTTGAGATTTTCAGTTTTTCTTCTTGGTTGGAGTTGTTTGGAAGACAAGCAATCTAAGCAACTCTTAAGTAAAAGGAATTTTAATTGTATTTGAAATTGTTTATGTTTTATAATAATAATTTAAACTTGTAAACGTTGAATTGATTAACTAAGCTGGATTATAGTTGTTGAATTGTATTATTATTTTTAATTAAGATTTCTCATATTGCATCCAAAGTTATATCCAATTGTCATCCATTATACAGTCTTAAAGTAAACATATGAGAGCAACTAAAGTACAAGAATACTAATTTAAAGTATTGGCAGTTTCTTCTTTCATTTTCATAAATTTTCATAAAATGGTGTGATCTTTTCCTTTTTAAATTGTGCAATCTAAAAATTACTTTTGAAAATAAAAAAAGTGACTTTCAAATTATAGTTATTTTTTTCTTCTTAAAAGAAGATTGTTAAATTGTATGATCTAAAAATTTAGAAGTTAAAAAGAACTTTCAAATTATACCAATAATTTTTTTTATTAATTCTCTTTAACTTTTAGAAATTATTTTCTATTTTCAGATTGTACAATCAACTTTTGAATTACAGGAAAATGAAAAAAATATATATATGAAGGTGCAAGAGAAAATTTATGGAGGTGCAGAAAGTAAATGATTAGAAATAGTTCTTTTGTCAAAGAAAATGCTCAGTAACAGCTACAAGCGAACGCTGAGCTAAAGGCAGTTGCTCCCTCCACCACCACCGAATGCTTCCTGCACCACTCTATACCAATTTTGCTCTTCTCTAAAACGGATATCAACATCCGTTTTACCTTCAACGGATGTTGACATCCGTCCATTCACAAATCCTATATTTTAATTTATTGTTTTTATTTAAAAAAAAAAAAAATCTTCAACGAATGTGGCGACATCCGTTAACGGATTGCCACATCCGTTTTAATAAAACTTTTAAAACTACTTTGATTATTATTTAAATAATAATATATAACTTAAATTAATAATAATTATTTTATTAAATAAAATAAAATTAATTCATAAATAATTAATTAATAATTTTAAATTAATTAAATAATATTTATATATTAATTTAAAATATAATAAATTAAAATCTGAAAATTTAAAAAGAAAAAACTTCCCGATTTAATAAATTTTTAAAATCTTCAATGGATGTGGCGACATCCGTTAACGGATTGCCACATCCGTTTTAATAAAACTTTTAAAACTATGATTATTATTTAATCCGTTTTAATAAAACTTTTAAAACTATGATTATTATTTAAATAATAATACATAAATTAAATTAATAATAATTATTTTATTAAATAAAATAAAATTAATTTATAATTAATTAAATAATAATTTTAAAAAAATTAAATAATATTTATATATTAATTTAAAATATAATAAAATAAAAAACTAAAAACTTTAAAAAGAAAAAAACTTCAATGTTTTAATAAATTTTTAAAAAGTATTTTAATTATTATTTAAAATAATAATACATAAATTAAATTAATAATAATTATTTTATTATAAAAAATAAAATTA